TCTCCGCGAAGATCAAGAGTATCAAATACAAACACGAATATACAAGGTCCTCGGTTCGGGTCACGTCAGCTAAAGCCAATTCGAAGGAGACAGAGGCGATTGCCAAACGCAGAGGTGTTGGTCAATACCCCGAGTGAGTTGCACGTAGTGTCAATTTTGATTGGAAACTATATCGGTTATTTCGATTCTCAAACACTTTTGCGCTTGTTTATTGCAGGATTTCAAGGTGGCCAATCCACGTCATATAACCAAACTATAGACGGGTCAGGAAGACTCTTTTTCAATAATAGCTATAGACGTCCCCGGAATAATCGTCCTTTCATCAGACAAACCAACAGAGGCTACTACGTCAATCGTGCACAAAACAGGAACATTGCTGCTGACCAGGCCCGTGAACGTGAGTATCTCGCCCAAGCTCGCGCGCTAATTCGTGCCCAAAGTGAGCAGACACAACAGTTCTATGGTGCAGCCCAAAACAACAACTTTGGACAGCACATCGGCCCCGCACGTGGTCGACGCGGTCGTCGTGGATATCAGTCTCGCTACTGATGGAACTTTGATGAATTATCTATCGGCTGCTTCTCTCATATACAACTACTCATTGTGATGCCCACCTGACACCAGAGTGAAGTGCCAAGCGACATTGCAGTTCTATCATCTATTCCTCGTGTCCTGTTTTAACCGTTTATTCTGTACATAAACATCGGCTATGAACTACAATGCATTGTACACAATTTCGGGCACATAATGCAGAATAAGACTACCGATGATTGCTGAATGCGCTCACCGAACCTCGCATATTTCAACTGATTGCGATTCCATAGTTCCTGTGCAGTATCTTTAAAACGGATCATAGCTCATGCTCACAAATCCTGTGGCTGTTATTGCGGCTGAATATTTCCAACCGCCTGAATTCATCGCCACCGGGAGCAATTTATTCGGTTGCCAAAAGTATCCTGAATCATCTTAACTTTTGGGGCAAACTGCGAAAGTTCTTCACATGTTTCAGCATCTCACGGTCGTAAGATGTGCCCATGAGAACAGTGATTACAATACATTGGCAGTCTCATGAATACGGCACAAGAATGGAAGGTTCCGTTTTCCCCTTTTCGATTTTGATCAAGCGCCAGTTGAGCTGAACGAATGATTGATTTTCAGTTTCACCTTGACGCGCCAGGATGCCAGCTGCCCTTTTGGTTGCGCTGTGCAACCGTGGCATCATACTGGTACGACTCGAAAGCAATCGCGGTCCACTGTAATGTGGTACCGTTTGAGTCTTAACCTGCTGGTAAGAGAAGAGAGGTGAATGGATTGTTGGATCAGCAGTGAAATCTACACATGCTTCTAGCATAACTGGTTATGAGAATACTTCAATGTGCGTAATTATCGGAGTTTGTGCCGAGCTCTGCTTCCGGAATGTGAGCATCCTCTGCGCACAAACTGTTTGACCTGTCAAGCGCTCGAGTTTATATGGAAATGGGGATCATAGATGTAAGCTGATTATTTCATTGCACCGATCTCAGAGTTCCTCACGACGTCAACACATTTTGTTTCGAAGCTCCACTTTTCACTCGGGGCTCTACTCTTACATGCAACACATTTCGAGGCTTTTCTGGATGGATATGTAATGCATTCACTTCCCACTGATTTCATTTAAATTGTTCACAAAAAGTACAGGCTGTTCTTTGGGTCCCATTTTCATGTCTGGCAGCACGCCTTAACGCCAACCAAATTGTGAAGGTAGAAAAAACGCGATGTAAATGTTTCAGTGAGGACGTTGCATTCGCAAATTATCTCGTCATTTACTGACCGCTGATTGCTTGTTATTGCTACACGGACCGAAATCGAAGCTTTGTCATAAATTTTGATCAATGTGCGTCAGACTTGGTTATGCTGCATGTGTATCGATACTGCAATGGGTCACGAAGTTGTGCCATGGCGCCAGCGGACAATTTCTTTAACTTCAGAATTGAAGACAGTGTAAAAGCTCCTTTCAGTCCTCAAGCCTGGTACTCATACATCAGTTTGCCATCATAGACGATGTTTCGGATCTGGTTTCCGATGTTTTGCCATGCACTATTACGAAAATCTACAAAATTGTCCACGTACTCGATATTTCCGCTGTTGATTTCCGTTTGTTGAGCAGTGTGCCAAGAACATGTGTAGTCAGACCTTCCTCTGGCGGTATTCCGGTCGACAAAATATTAAGTTGAACCAAGCGGCTGTTTACGTGTTGAGTCATTCGTAGTGTTTGCCTTGTGGCCATGCCGAAATGCAGCGACAATTTAATCTTGTTATGCATTGGCCAACCCGGATCCGTTGAGGCAATGTCAGTTATTCCGACTGGTGTTCTGCCTGTTCTTCTCGCGCCAGAATTTGCATACGAGAATCGTTTGTGTTGCCATTTAGTGACTGCGTAGCTATCTTGTTTGCTTTCATGCCGATTGTGCACTGTATTCTACATCAAAAGTGGTCTACGACACTCGCATGAACTCTATCGATCCCGGAAGGTTAAACCTATCAGGCTACTATCTGTTGGTCGATTACGCACCGCCGTTCGATTGCTACCTTTTTGGAATATAAAGGTACCAGCAGACAAGACCAATATGTCCGGTGAACGTGTGTGCATCTGTCGGAAGTGAAGTCGATCAAATAGGGGTTTGAATCTTCTACCTAAATTGCTCGGTTTATCTAAAGCAGCGGACAGATACTCGGCTTGCAAGTGTTTACCGCGAACCTTTGGGCATAAGGTTTTGAAAGTTTATCCTGTTAGCAAATATGATTTATTATCTGGTTGAGGTTAAGTGGGTATTGAAAGTCATCAAACCAAGGAGAGCTGGCATTCCAAACATTTATTGTAGACCTCGGGATTCTTTGCCACCCGTACTAGTCATAATGAGATTACAGAGTTGGTTTGGGATCCTGACCTGTTGTGTTTTTTGAGGCATTTGCGGATAGGCCCCAGGGGTGTTCGTATCTACACGTTATCGTCTTGGTTTTCCCAATCACTAAAGTTCCGTTTCCTTTGTTATTATCCTTGGGTCTTACAGAAGAATAATATGAACTATAACTCGTGTGCCGGGTATAGTGGGATTACTACTCAGTAAGTAGCATGCAGTACACCTGATTTGAGAAAATCTGCGGTACGTATCTCACGTTAAATCACTGTTGTATTTGTCTCTGAACTGTGTCTCACAAATTCGCCATTGCGGGTTGTGTTCTCCGAATCGTCATCATCGTACAGCGAAATACAGAGAAGCGAACTTCACTGATTGCTGCCAAACTCACAATGCATATGCATTCGGGTTTGATGAACGGGTACTCCCGGGGTGTCCAGCCACTAAGCAGTTCTCCGAATAGGTTTGTCTTTGGCTCGATTTTTCAAGTGAGAAGCCTAAGTGTTTTGCTAGCAACTTCGTTCGTTGCAGTTATAAACACATCGCACTTCTCGCATAGTCTGGTTCTCTTCAACACTGCATAGGTTATCGCACGGACAGCCATCTATTTTGACCTCTTGACGTTCAGAACAACTCAGAATTTTTGTCGTTTGTCAAAGTCATGTCCAACTTTCTGTTGTTTATTCGGGACGGTGGTTATGCACTACTGATGAGCTCTAATAAGAGCGAAACTCCAGTCTAGTGCTTCCTAATATAAGGTTGAATCGATAAACAGGGTTGTGCGTGAAGGTGAGGTCCGAAAGATAGTCGATTCAAATCAATCAATTTCTGTTTCACTGCAACGCTGTCGTAAACAATGGCGCTCGTACAGCTTCTCAGTTTCTTTGCAACCTTAGTCAACTGGACTTCTTCTTTTTCTCTTTAACTCTACTTTCCAATCTTGCTTCTACCCCTGCATCCAAATGTGCAACCAAAACGGCCCCACGCAAGTGCATGGTTATTGGTTGTACAAACTAGACGCCGTTGGCATAACCTGCTATTCATGATCGTCTTTGTATAACTATTCTCACAGCCCGGAAGTCAGTCATCGGCTTAAATCAATGGCCGTAGGCATGAGAGAGCTTCCCGCGGTTTCATTTTTTCATTCACCGTAAGGCTACTCAAATCGGCCTAGTTGGACAGCTCATTCAACTGCCCATTGTCGCACATGGATGTACGTAGGCCAAATATGAGAGTCGGTTGGTCATAAGAAAACTTATCCTGTTCTTGAGAATCTCATCGTGGTTCACGGAGCCGACTCATTCTTTAGCAGTAGGTAGACGTGTGAACGACTTCCCGTCTCTCCCGTGGATCCCGACTACACGCTGGAACCACAGGAGTGGA